GACAGACTATGATGTCAAATGAAAAAGACCCAAGAGGGTACACACTGTGTTATGCTACTTATATAAATAATATACAAAACTAATAAATGATGATAGAAGTTAATTTTTTTCTCTTCTGGGATCTTGGGAGAATCTTTTTTAAAATTATTTCTTTCCTTGAGATTATAATGTAATTTAATAATTTCCCCTTCCCTTTACTCCCTCCAAATCTTATGCACTTCTCCTTGCTTTCTTTCAAACCAATGACCTATTTTTAAGTAATTGTTGTTACATGCATAGATGTGCACATACATATATATTCCTAACTATAACCTGCTCAGTCTGTATAACCTTACTTGTATGTACATTTTCAGGGCTCACTTTGTGGTATTGGATAACCAAGGTTGAGTTCTTCCCTAGGGGGAGACCATTTCTCCCATTTTCAGCATTCCTTGGTTGCATGCAGTTCTTTGTGTCAATTTGTTGCTTTCGTGGTCTTTCCCTGTCCACTTTGGCACCTCATATTTGGGCAGTCATGTTGGTGAGACTTTATGTGTGTAGCTTCTGAAATTACCAGGAGACACCTTACAGTAAGTTGGGTTGTTGGTAATTTCTTGAGTTGGGTGGTGATTACATGAGTGCATTTGCTGTGTGAAGATACTGAGCTGTGTGCCTAACTTTTAAATGTCTTATGTTACACATATTTTTTTAAATCATTTTTTATTTGAATTAGAAACAAGATTGTTTTACATGACAGTCTCAGTTCCCTTCTCCCTCCGGTCCTCACCTATCACCCCCCCCAATATGTTATACATACTTCAGTTTGACAGTTCACACAAAAGACAGGAAGCACAAGATGAATGATTTCTGGCTTTTGAGATACAGAAATTTTAAAGAGGGAAAACAAGAGAAATTTTATTAGCTACTTTCTAACCACATTTTTAAAACAACCATACAGAGAAACTTCTAGAAAGTCCTAATTGGAAAAGAACATGAGTACTGTGAACTTAAAATTTCTCAACACTATTTCATGCCAGAAGAGAAAAGAGTAATACTTTAAAATTCCTAAAGGAAAGAAAAGGTGCATCCCATTGGTCCTACAATTTTATATCTAGCCAAATTCACACAGAATGTTGAAAGCATAGAAAACTACTTTCAGGCATGTCAAAGCTCTGCTACTTTGGCATAGCAAACAATTTGCAATGTCCTCTTTCAGAAGAAGCCTCCAGATGAATAACATAACACTTTCTTTGGTATAGAATGAGAAGCTAAGTGAAGTAAATATGTTTAGATAAATTATTTTACGTTTAAAAATTTCACGTCCTTTTAAGACTTTTAGGTCACATAGTTCAAGTGATTCCAGTGGCTAAGAATCTAGAATTCCATCTTCCTACTCATGCTTGTGTTATATATGACCTCAAGCAAACCATCCTGAAGCTGGGAGGAGAGTTAGGCAGGACCTGGGGTGTGGTTTTTAAGTCTAGGCAAGATTGTTGGCTGGGGATCCTTGCATATGGAACTCATGAAAACAAGTAGGGCTAAAAAGTCTGTTAAACATCTCAGGAAATTGTATTTTCAAAGCAACACAAGCTTGTCCAGCAAATGTTATGCTTGTTTTCCATCTAATTCCCCAAGAAACCCTTTTACCAGAGTCCTGGCCAGGCAGTGAGTTGGCTAAAAATTTGCACTGCTCTAGTGATAGCATCACTGCAATTCCCTCATGGGATGTGGACATGAGCAGAGTATAGCAGGCAAAGGAGAACACCAGAGAACAAATGTATGGGCTGTAGTAGATGCTGGATGAGCAGTCCTTCTAGGGAACCAGTACTGCATGCCACCAAATGGTTTCACCATAGACTTTGTGGCCAGGTCAGGGAGTATAGGAATTAGCATTTGAGAACAGCTCTGGAACAGTGATTTCCCTGTTGACACTAGTGTCCCTCTCTAAATGGACACTTCTGTTCTGATGGCCTTGTTTTCCTTCTGGTGTTATAAATTGGATGTAGAAAAAATGAGGCAGGGCTACTTGTGTCTTAGTGTGTGGTTATGGGATCACAGGGCACTTACTTTTTGGATCTGTTGGAAAGGATCATCTAGAAATCCAGACCAAGGGCTAGATTTACAGCGGCAGGAGTTTCTGGAATGGTCTTCCGTCTGGGGAGTCTTTGCATGCAGCAAGCCCCCAATAGCATCTCTTTGCTTTCTTTACCAAAAGATATTTGCATAGAATGCTGATACTCAGTGTTTTGTGCTAGGTGTGGACATGCAGCCAAGTTCTGGCCAGTGGAGTGTTATTGGAAGGAAGAGTCACTCCTTTTGAGATTAAAAAACAAAACAAAACAAACAGAAAACTAAGTAAAACTGAAAAGAGATTGAAAATTTGGCATCAGAGGAGCACAAATTATAGTATACATAGGCAAGGGCAGGAGATTCAAAGAATATCAATTCAAAACTGTCTATTGATAGTGCCAACAATTGGAAACCAGAGGCAGTGGAAGCCAGCTTGGGTTATATAGTGAGAACCTGTCTCAAGCAAACGAACATACATAAAAGTAAACAAGTGTATAGTCCACAGAAGAAATCTAGGCTAATAATCTTAATGTCTGATGAAATGAGGGTTGAGATAAAGAGAGGGAGAGCAGGTGCAAGAGCCCTTGGAGCAAGAAGTACATCCATGATGAGCTATGCTCATACAGCAACAGAGCCTCCAAACATGAGAAGCAACAAACAAACAAACAACAACAAAAACTTCTCAGCTAAGTAGATGAGCTATTATCCGCTCTTGAAATAAACCAAGAAGGAAAATGAGTACTGTATATACATACGGTTATATACAACATCAAGAGCCAACAAATAGAAACTTGCATACATTTCATTATTTATTGTATAATATAGACAAATAAATCTCTTTCTATATACCTGCCTGTCAAGGGCCTGTCTTTTAAACTGCTTATAGTGAGATTTACATCTTTCTTTTCAATCATTAGATTGCACTATATTCATATATTAGATCTTTAAAAATGTACCAAATTTCATTGATTTCCATACAATGTCTTTATTTTAGTTCCTTCCTGATTTTGTACCAATATTTTCCCTTTTTTATGCATTAATTCCACTTTTATATAATACCTCCTCATGCATGTTCACACACATAGGCAATTTTAAATCTAGGTTCTGCATATGAGAACAAGCATGTGATGTTTTTTTCTTTCCAGATCTGACTTATTTTGCTTAACACAATGACTCCCATCCAATTCATATGATTCCATATTTCTTTACATCTAAATACAATTCCATTGTGTAAAATAGAGTCCTTTTTCGAAAGTCTGTAGATGCCTGTATCTTGAAGTGTTTCCTCCAGCAATTTCAAAGTCTCAGGTTTTACATTAAGATATTTGATCCATATTGATTTTTTTTGCAGGGGAAAAGATATCGATCTAGTTTTATTCTTCTAAGTGTAGAAATTCAGTTTTCCCAGCACTATTTGTTAAGGAGGGTGTCTTTACTGTGTGCTTTTGACATCTTTATCTGACAGATTTAGGTGGCTATAACTGTATGGGTTTACTTTTGGGTCTTCGATCCTATTATTCTGGTCCACACATCTTTTTTTTGCCATTACTATGCTATTTTTATTATTGCAACTTTGCAATTTAAGATAAGGTATTGTGGTATCTCTGGAATCACTCTTTCTGCTCAGAGTTGCTGTAGATATTTGGCCCTTTTTGTGGATTCCATATGAATTTTAAGATTTTGAGAGAAGGCTAGTGAGATTGCTTAATGGGTAAAGGTTCTCATGGCCAAGACTGACGACCTGAGTTTGACTCCCAGGATTCCACATGGTGGAATGAGAGAACTGACTCTCTCTAGCGTCTTCACATTCACTGTAATGCATACACACACACACACACACACACACACACACACACACACTAATAAAGGCAGTAATACTTGTGTTAGAATTGATTTTTTTATTAGTTCTTTGAAAGTTTCGTACAACATGCTTTAATCTTACTTTCCTTCCTTCGCCTAACTCTTCCCAGGTCCATTCCCTCTTCCTCATACACCCAACATCTTTTCCCTTTTTAAAAAAAGATTCTTAATTTGTGTTGCCAAAATATTCTTGGATGTGTGGTCTTCCACTAGAGAGTGGTCCACTCTCCATGGACTACACTGTTAGAGAAAACTATCTCCCCTAAACTCCATCAGCTAACAACTGCCAATGGCTCCATAGCTAGGGGGCTCAGTTTCCCCTCTTCATGCTGGCATTTGATCTGGCTTGAGCTTGCACAGATTATGTTCATGCTGCCAGTCACTGTGAGTTCATATTTGCAGCTGCCTTGCTGTGTTTGAAGATAATGTTTCCACTACCATTTTTGTTATTTATTTATTTATTTATTTATTTATTTATTTATTTATTTTTTACACCCTGACCAAAGTTTTCCCTCCTACCTCTCCTCCCAGTCCCTTCTCCTTGGTCCTCTATCTTACCTCCACATCCACTCTTCCTCCTTCATTTTTCTTCAGAAAAGGGCAGGCCTCTCATGGATATCAACCAACCATGTCATATCAAGTTGCAGGAGACTCTCCTAATAAGGCTGGATGAAACAACCTGGTTGGAGGAAAGGGTCCCCAAAGCAGCAACAGAGTCAGAGACAGCCCCTTCTCCCACTGTTAGGAGTCTCACAAAAAAACCAAGCACAACTGTCACATATATGCAGAGGGCCTAGGTCAGTCCCATGCAGGCTCCCTGGTTGTCAGTTAAGCCTCTGTGAGCCCTCTATGAGCCCAGGCTAGTTGATTCTGTGGGGGTTTCTTGTGGTATCTGATGGGGAATGTACTTCTGTGTATGTTCATCTTATTGATTGTTGAATAAAGTACTGTTTGGCCAATGAGGCAGCAAGTTAGACAGGACTAGGAGTCAACGAGGATTCTGGGAAATGTAGTAAAGAAGTGATGATCCAGGCAGGAAATGACATAGCAGGGAGACTCATACATAAACAAGGAAAGAAGGAAGTGGGTCCTCTCTTCCTCCAGATTCGAGATGTGATCCACTGGCAAGAGAGGACGCCAATGGAAGGTGTCTGGTAAGTCTTATAAAATATATAAATTTATGATAATTAAGACTGAGCTAGCAGATGAGAAATCCTAGTCATTGGCCAAGCAGCATTTGTACCTAATATAAGTCTCTGTATTATTTTGTCCATCCATGTGGTGGGCAGAACTCAAGCGGGTGGCAGAAAGATTTATGTAACAGGTATCCTTGGCTCCTTGGCTCCTACAATCCTTTTTCTTCCTCTTCTGCAGGGTTTTCTGAGCTTGGTCTAATGTTTGCCTGTGGGTCTCTGTATCTGTTTCCAGTTGCAGGGTGAAGCCTCTCTAATGAAAATTGGGCTAGGTACTAATCCATGAGTATAGCAGAACATCATTAGGGATTATTTCTAGAGAATGGGAAAAGATCTTCACCAACCCCACATCTGACAGAGGGCTGATATTCAAAATAAAGAAAGAACTCAAAAAACCAGATATCAAGTCAAGTAATCCAATTAAAAAATGGAACACAGATATAAATAGATAATTCTCAACAAAGGAATCTCAAATGGTCAAGAATCACTGAAAGAAATGTTCAACACTTCTAGCCATCAGAGAAATGCAAATCAAAATTACTCTAAGATTGCATCTTACACAAGTCAGAATGGTTAAGATCAAAAATACAAGAGACAGCTCATGCTAGTGAGGATGTGGAGCAAGGGGAACATTCCTCCAATGCTGGTGGGAGTGCAAACTTGCACAGTCATTTTGGAAATCAATATGTTGGTTTCTGAGAAAATTGGGAATTGATCTACCTCAAGCTCCAACTATACAGATGCTCCACCATACCATAAAGATACTTGCTCAACTATGTTTGTAATAGTTTTATTCATAATAGCCAGAACCTGAAAACAACCTAGATGTCCCTAAAATGAAGAATGGATGAAAAAAATGTGGTAAATTTATGCAATGAAATTTTACTCAGATATTAATAACAATGATAGTATAAAATTTGAAAGGAAATGGATAGAACTGGAAAAAATCATCCTGAGTGAGGTAACCCAGACTGAGAAAGACAAATATGGTATTACTCAGTTATAAGTGGTCATTAGCTGTAAAGTAAAGGATAACCATGCTACAATCTACAGATCCAGAGAAGCTAAGTAACAAGGAGAGCTCAAGGGGGATGCATGAATTCTCACTGTAAAGAGGAAATAGAATAGACATCACCAGTGGAATGGGGGGGGGTCTACATGGAGGGTGAGGATGCCACCATTATCTTTGATTCTTATATTTTTTCCATCCTGTCTTCCATAAAGATCCTTGAGCCTTGGGAGCTGGTGTAGTCTGTTTCCTTTATGCCTGACCATTCTACAGCTTCTTATTTTCTTCATCTTGGCTAGTTGTGGGTCACTGTGTTAAACACCATCTACTGCAAATAGATGCTTCTCAGATGAGGACTATGACAGATGCATTGGCTTGTGAATATAACGATATCACCAAGAGTTGGTTTAACACATGTCCATTTTGCATCATGACAGCAGTAGGTTCTCCTCTAGCCATAAGCTCTTATACTGAAAATAGTGCCAAATATGGATTTCATCTTCTTGAATGGGTCTTAAATCCAACCAGAATTATTTGTTTACTTTCATGGTATCATGCCACTATTGCTCCAGTGGGTGTATCTTGCTAGGCCAGTCACTGTGGCAACGTCTAGCATTAATAACTAGAAATGACTGATGATTTACTTTTCTCCTCTGGTAACTTGCTTAGCATTTTCAGCTCCATGACAGCTAGCTAGGGATGAAGCTTCCAGGTTCATAACAACTTGATATCTTCATGTTCTATGACTAAAGTGTGTAATATCTTAGCAATAGGGTCTTACCATCAAGTTCTGAAAGTTAACCATGAGAAATTTCAGTAGACTAAATGTTTAGGGGTTGTCATAGTTAGGGTTTTATTGCTGTGAAGAGATACTATGACCACAGCAACTCTTATAGAGAAAACACTTAATTAAGGTGGATCTCTTACAGTTCCAGAGGTTCATTCCATTATCCATCATGATGGGGAGCATGGCAGTGTGTAGGCACACGTAGTGCTGGAGCTGAGAGTGCTGCATTTTTTCAGGCAACAGGAAGACAACTGATAGGGATGCTTGAGCAAAAGAGATCTCAAAGCCTGCCCTCACAGTGAAACACTTCCTCCAACAAGGCCACATCTCCTAATAGTGACACTCTATCTGGGGATCATTTTCTTTTTAATGGCCCAGGGATCTTTGGGACCTCACCGGTTAACAACTCCAAAAGAAATAACCTCCCTTCCTGACACTGGGCTTTTATTTGTTAGCCTCTGGTGTTAAGTGGGGACATTGTTGCTCTGTTAAGGTAACTCCATTTTGACTATACATATTAGGTTAAATTTATTAATTTTTATATAATTAAAAAAGTATTTAATATAATTACTGTTTATTATATCTATAATACTATATTTATAATGTGCATTAATTTTATGTTACTAAATATTACTCTCATGCATATTTTTAATTTGTTAATGATATTTAGGTATTTTTAATTATATATATAGTATTTTAGGAAGCTTCTGCAGTAGGTTTCTATATGTCTTTTTCAAAAGGTCATTCATGTTTTAAAGTTTCTTTTCTAATTCTATGAAGGATGTCATTGGAGTTCTGAGGGAGTTTTCATGGAATTTGTAAATTGCTTTCATTAATACATTTACGTTCACAGAACTGAATCTGCCAATCTGCAAGCATGGAGGGCTTTCTGTCTTCTATCATCTCCTTCTGTTTCTCTTTCCTTTGTAGATGTCTCATCTCCTTGCTTATGTTTTGTTGCTGGTTCTGCAGGTAGAGAGGAGCCATCCAGCCTCAGTAATTCAGACAACTTTTCCACTCACTCCCTTTTGAGAGATGTCTCTGAGCCCTCCCACCAGCTGGATGTAACCCAATCTCTGGTGTTCTTGGGTCTGCATTCTCCACACAAGGCTTTCTGGCTCTGTATCTGAGGCTGAGAAGGGAGTCCAGAAGTCATGTCTACACATGTATTTACCTAACTCACTGGATATTCTCTTCTAATCCATGTCTTGGTTATTTATTTATTTATTTATTTATTTATTTATTTATTTAGGCCAGTGCCCCACAGTTCTTGACTCTGAATAGTGGCATCCATCCATGAGATTGTGCTAGGATCAGCACACTTTTTGCATGCCAGTGTTGTTACTGTGGGGAGGTAACTTCACAATATCCCCAGGCTATTCATTCTGGGCCTCACTTTTGTGTTGTACTGTATCGTGTCTCTACTAAAGGTAGACTGGGCTCCCAGCTGTATCTGTGAAGCCCATTCATTGTCTGTACAGCTTATATTTCCCAAGGAACCAATGCCAAAGAGGGGAAAGCATCTCCCCCATGAAGATCACACACAGGCATCATGGTTTATCTGTGCACTAACTGGCAACCACTCCTGGCTGTAGTTCTAAATGGAGGGTTTGGAGAACTTACCTTACCTTATATATTACTTTCTGCCATCTTGCTTTTTCTTTCAATTTTCAACTATCCTACCTCCCTTTGGGTGTTTTTGAAGTTTTTCCACTTTTTCTGTCTTTTTCTGTCTCAATTCTCATCCTTTGCCAGGTTATACGTGTGTGTGTGTGTGGGGGGGCAGCTTCTAATCATTGTCTTGTCTAAAATGCCCCAGTTTTGAAGTGTCCTGAGCCAATGTGTCTTCAACCACAATCTCTGTTGTCTTCTCTTAAACCCTCTATGGTGAGCTTGTCTGAGACATAGAGAAGATTTTCTTTATAGTCTTTGGCTTCCATGCCCTACTTTAGATTTTCTTCCTCTAAACTTCTGTGCTGCACTCTAGATAATTTCTCCAATTTTGTCTCTTAAATTACAGATTTTCTTTTATATCTAATTGGCTCTTCCATTTGTAGAATTTTCATTTTCATTGATTCCATTTTCTTTTCCAGATTTGCCTTTGAATATTTTCTATAGTGCTAATTCTTTTCTGCTCTGCTTGCCTTTTCATTTCCTCTCTAACTATTTAATCATGGCTACAGCCTTCACTGTCCTCGCTTGCCACCCCATTGTGTTGAAGTCTGAACTTCTACTTTCTTTGTCTGTGACTGTATTTGGAGACAGGGTCTTTTTTTTTTTTTTTTAGGAATGTGTACATAATAGAAATAATATAACAATATCAGTCTGGTCATGATGCTGAGTAGAAGAAATAAACTTTTTTTTCTCTTTTTATTATTATTATTATTATTATTATTATTATTAT